CCCGGCAAGGACAATAGCGCGTTCGTTCCCCACCGCATAGACCTGCGGTCCAGAGTTTTGAGTTATACGAGTTATATTTCGCAACATACTTTACCATTAAAAAGAAAAAGGCAGTAAATAAAAGGGTTAAGACGTCTTAATGTTTAATATTCCAACACTATGCTCGTAATAACCGAGCATTTTGGTCAATCAGTGGCGGTTTCCCAAATTCTCTACATGATAATGAGGCTGGTATAAAACTCTTGTTTGGCTAACGTTTTTGAGCCTTTGACTTCTTCAGAGCCGCGTTGACCCAAATTGATGGTTCCAAGATTGTCGCTGTGGCGAGGTAGTTGTTCTTAGTCGCTTCGAGTACAATCCAGTGACAGGCATTGCTGATATGCCGCGTAGCGACGAATGCCGTTCAAACCGATTTCGAGAAAAATTCGGACCTATATAACAATAACCAGTAATATTTCTACCTGATTGAGCTGACAGGAACTTAGAATAAAACTTTTATTCAGCTAACTTCTCAGCGTCTTCGCCTTTTTCAGAGTCACGTTGATCCGAGCCAATGATCAAGAGCTGGTCGTTTTAGCGTTTTGGCTGTCCATTGTCTCATCGACTCGGAACCAGTGGAGGGAAAACCGCTCGAATGGTTAGCTCACTTCGTAGATTCGACTTGATCAGACAACCAACACCCTAACCACATTACGACAACAACCATCCTCTGGACCATCGACTTGGATAAATGCGGCTTTGGGGAAGACGAAGGCGCCGAAACATTAGCAAAATAAAAGTTTTACACTAAACACCTGCCCGTTTAACCGAAGCTGTATGGAAATCGGTTTTAATGACAACGAAACTTTCCGAACAGTTCCAGCTACATCACTCTAAACTTAGCGATTGCAGACTTACCGAAAATCGCTGGCGTAATTATTTTAGAGGAATTGCAAGCATATCCTCTTGAAATGCGTAATTTCCTATTACTTTGCTTTCAGTAACTGTCTCATTAATAATAATCCTTGTTTGGTGTTTTCAGATGTCTTTACAATAGCTATCGACCTACAAGAACACTCTCTGGCTATGATAGATGCTAGTTCTTAGTTTACATTCATTTTTTCTTCATTACCAGCTGCGCCATTTTCTGAAACTTATTCTTAGCAACTGGAAGCCCCAAAAGCCATTTGCTCATGTGCGGGCAGAATTAAGGCAGGAATAGTAAATATAACCGTATGCCACAATTACAGCAACTCATAAATCCGTTAACTTCATATCTACTTCGGTGTGCTACGATCTCTTCGTTATGGCAGGAATTAAAAGTTGCCTGTGACAACACAGTAGATGTATAATGAACACTGAAGAAAATTTGGACACCAAACTGCTTTTTTGTGTTGTAGCAAATTTAATAGTGTTTACCAACTCGGGTGTGTGTGGAGCAGTGGTCGGAGACGCCCTGCAACACACGTGGAATCGATCCTGGGCCCACGGCGCACTAAGCCATCTATCTATCCGGGTTTCGCAAATTGGTACCAGACTTGTCTGCGTGGATAGCTGCACTGGCTCGATACATCAGTAGGCCACCGCTAGTCATTGTAAAAGTCAGGTATGCATTCAGTGTCCTCCAATTGATGCTTAATGAAATCGAATGCATGGCGCCTCCCTCATGGATTGATCAACGCCGAGAGGTTTATCTTTTTTTATCTTTCGCAACTTTCACCTTTAATTTTTGTTTCTTTTATCAGTACGCTATTTTAAATAGAGTCACTTAAATTTCGTGGCTTCGATTTTCGTTGTGTCACCTTTCACTTCATTTACAATGATCTGCGTTTTGTGTAGCTTGTGTGCCCTCGATTCGATAGTGGTAGTCGCTGTTCGCTTAGTGACTGAAGCATGGAAATCTTAGTGAATTTAATTCTGACCACTATGTCTGCCATAACACTAAACTGGCTAGAGCAAACACAACCCTATTTTCAGAATTAAGTGTTTAGAGATGAAGGAAGAAAAGCTAAACAATAAGAATCAACAACCGTTTATATTGTTTAGTTTACACGAGGTTGATATGAGATGTTTCTTCGGCTAACGTTTCGACGTCTTCGTCTTCATCACAGCCGGCGATCGTTGTCGATTGTCCGTGCAGAATTTTTGTGATGTCCTAGGTCCAATCGCTTGCTGCCTTGTGAGCGATCTGTTGCAGGTGTAATCTTCGTTTCCAGTCAAGACTACAGTAATTTCTTATATTTTTAGAAACCGAAAATGAATAGTCTTGCAAACGTGGGGAGTCTTCCGATCCTTCTGATTGCCCTTATAATCACAGTCTCGACAGTGGAGGGATGTGGATGAGTGCCACCAGGCCAATGTAATGAGTAGAAGATTGTTATGCTCGTACAAACAATTGCGGTTTTAAATAATAAAATTTAGAACGCATTTATAACAAAATAGTCGGGCACTACTACTACTTCTAGGTACTACTGTCACCCATTAAGGAAAATTTTTGAACCGTATTGAATGTATTTCTGCGCAGTTTTCTAACCAGTAAGATCCAGCAATACTTCATTTGATGAGCCGTAAAATTTTGAAGCAATTTAAAAGCCTTAAATGTGGGATAAACCGAATCGACTACTTTCTAAAAAGCAGTTCTACGAATTTTACATGTTGACTCTTTTCCAAATAGTTGCAGATATGAGTTAAACCAGCCATGATCCCGCAGCGGTTACACAAGCGCAATGTGACTTCACCGCATGAAGTACGCAGCAACAAGTTTCATTTTGTCTTCCGATCGTCGAGAAAGTGGCTGCATTCTGTAAACACCTAGTCTTACTAAACACTGGAAAGTTTTAAAACGGTGAATAAGGAAGCAGCCGCCTAGTGACACCTCATTCCCGTTCTGCGGAACGTCCTAATTTCTTTCTCCACTCGATGAGTAGTCAATTCGAACAAAAGTGAAGTACTCCTGTGTTTCGAAACAGAACTTCAAGTTTCTATGTAATTATTTCGTCAATAATCGAATTTGGCACGGTTTCTTTTCATCCTTTTCATAGCATGGTTTCCCTAGTTCATATTACTCATCCTCAGCTAGAGGGAACTGCAGAGCTTAACGTCTGCGACTACCGTTGCTTTGAAATTTGCTGTTAAGAAAGTTTGCACCGAATGTTGTGGTTCGTTTTTCTCGCTCGATTTGTTTTTAGACAAACTTTATATTAAAAATGCGCTCATGACGACGGTGTTTTGTCGACTCTGAATTTCTTTTTCCGTGTAAAGGCCAGAATTTTATGCCGCTGTAACGTAACGGATTGTGGGAACACAATATAGGCGTGACACCTGGAGAATTGACGCATCCGTTGAAATTTTTCATTGTAGTGGCTTCCACGTTCCTACTTCACGTTCAGGGTTTGACACTCATTTTACGTCACAATTGACTCCTTTAGAATTTATGACGGCACGATATCACATAAGTGTGGCTCCAAGGAACTTCCCTAGAATTCGATAAGTATGGGACACCTGAAAGAATTAACAAAGTTAAAGAGCTGTAGAAACGTCTTCCCAGTTAACCTCACTGTTGTACAATTGCTGAGTTCCAATCACTTGCTGCTTTGTGGACGATCTGGTGCAGAAAATGCAATCTTCGTTTTCAGTCAAGTCTACAGTAATTGCCCATATTTTTAGGAACCGAAAATGAATAGTCTTGCTAACGTGGAGAATCTTCCGATCCTTCTGATTGCGCTTATAATCACGTTCTCGACAGTGGAGGGATGTGGAGTAATGCCACCAGGCCAATGTAATGAGTAGAAGATTGTTATGCTTGTACAAACAATTGCGGTTTTAAATAATGAAATTTAAAATGCATTTATAACAAAATAGTCGGGTACTACTACTTCTAGGTACTACTACTTACTAGGTAGGTACTACTACTTCTCGTTGATTATTGTTATAACTATGAATTACTGCTTTGTTTTCTTTTACCGACAAAACTTACGGGATTTCTTTGCAGCGAGTTCTAGGAACTTCACTATCGCCGGTTTCACCTTGCCTGTGGCCATGGTCCACAGTGCTATGCAAAATATCGTTGCCCAGGTTCCTGGCATTGCACCTAACGCTGAAGGAGCACAAGCATTTGTACAACGTATTATAATGCAAGCAGTGAGCTCAGAACTCTTGGATTTCAAGCTTTTTTCGTTGTTTGTCGATGGGTTAGAAAGTGAACTTGGATTGTTGGACAATTATTTAAATTTTTAGTTTCACCACGGTTTACACGGTTCAACGTATCTTGCTCATTGAAAACACTTCACACAAACTCTTCCAAGAAATAATTCTTTAGGTCTTTGAAGTTCTCGAACAGCAAGGTCGTGGCGCCGGCCTTTCTGATGCCATAATCTCGATCATTCTTGGTCAACTTACTGTTCAGACCATTTATACCCCATTAGAATGCCCTAACGCATTCGTGAACCCTATGCCAATGGCGATGAATGCAAGTGAGTCTACAGCATGTCGCATCCGTAAAGCAGATCTCAAGCGCAAAGCTTCGTATGACAAAGAAAACCTTCAAAATCGTTTATGGTTTCGTTTGTTTTACTCCTCCACTCGTGTAGCCCCACCTGATTAGAAGAACAAGCGTGATCATTCAATTTTTTGAACTAGTATTAGCAGGTAATAAAAAGCAGCATTAGTTAGTGATGAAAATAGTAAGAACACTAATAATGAGGGGCAATATCACGTTTCCTCAAACAATTTTGACCGTCTGTAGAAAAGTGAAACCAGCGACCACATTTGGTGCTCATCGTTTTTTAGATAGAGGTCATAGTGGGATGAAAGAAAATTAATAGAGAAACAGAAGCAGAAGTGGTAAATGGGAATGGAAATGCCTTTTGAACACAATCTGTTAAGTAGGCAGAAAAAGCACATCGGCCATTTGAAATCATTTTTCTTCAAATAGATGTTTAATTCTCTTGTTGTCACATAACTCTAGTGAAGCCAACGAAATATTTGTTTTCTTACTTTTCAAAGAAACTACATCATTGATGCTATTGAATGCTTCGCAAGCCGCTCGTTTCCTTCTGCTCAGCTCTGGAGCTAGGTGGTTCAGCATGCTGATTTCCCGACCTAGATAGACATAACTGGAGAATTCGGAGATATTCGACCCATTGANCAAAAGCCGCTCGTTTCCTTCTGCTCAGCTCTGGAGCTAGGTGGTTCAGCATGCTGATTTCCCGACCTAGATAGACATAACTGGAGAATTCGGAGATATTCGACCCATTGAGCATGAATAGTGCATACGAAACCAATCCGTTCTTCATGAACATCGTTTTTGTGAGATTTAGTCGAAGACCAATCTTTCCACAGACTTTATTAAAGTCCGCAAGCATTCGTCTCGCTTGGCTAATGTTTGCTGTTACAAGGACGACATCATCAGCAAAGCGAAGATGGCGTAATTGCCACGCATCGATTTTTACTCTCATATTATTCCATTCCATTGTTCGTATGACGTTCTCAAGCGTGGCAGAAAATAATTTAGGCCAGACGGTATCGTCCTGCCTAACACCTCTTACAACGTCGATGTTAATATCGTTGTGCAATGGTAATATCTTGCATGTAAAATTTTTGTACTGCTCACGAAGAATTTTTACATACTGAGTAGGGCGTCCCTGATTATCAAGGGCTTCCATGACTGCTTCTAGCTCAATTGAGTACTCTTACGATACTTCAATGAGCCTTGTTATCGCGTGGATGTGGTCCATCGTACTAAATCCTTTTTGAAACCCTGCTCGCTCACATGGATGCCCATCGTCCAGTGTTCTATCAATCTTGTTTAAAATGACTCGAGAAAAAAGTTTGTAGACGAAAGACAGCAAGTAGGCCGGGCGATAGCTACCGTTGTCGTGCAGCTCACTTTTCGAGAAGAATAACACAGTCTTGCTGGTCGTCCACAAGGTAGGGACCTTGTACTCGGTCAGGTAACGTGTGAAAAGCTGAGCCAGTGTGTTTACGAGGACTGGTGGAAGGTTCCTCAGGTGTTCTGGTCTTATCCTATCCGGACCTGGTGCTGTTCGATTTTTCACCGATAAAATGGCATGTCGGATTTCAGAAAGGAGAACCGGTGGTACAATATATCCATTTTCCTTTATTTCACATGACGAAAGGTGGACGTGGCTGTCGAAGAGATCCGAGTTGTATTCGTGAATGATTTTCACCATTTCCTTTCTGGACGCTGTAACTGTTTCGTGAGGGCGTTGCAGTCCAACCACCTTGGTCATGTAATTGACGAGCCTTCGGTTAACTTTGCGAATGCTTTTCTTAGCCTCTGCAGCTTCGACCATTACTGCTGCTCTTCTCTCTCCATAAGATCTTCTTTTATCGTCTGTCTGCATTGTTTTGCAAGCTCGGACGTTAGTACGCGGTTGCCTGCAGCTCGTGGGATTCCACGCTGGCGTATCAGCTCAAGTGTTTCTCGAGGCAAACATCTCTTGGTGGCTTTCAAATTCTCAGCTTTCACAGCGCTAACGAGGAGATGTTGAATAAGCCAATCGTATTCTTCGTCGATGTTACCGACAACGGCATCTTCCTATAAGCCGTCTAATGAATTCAATTAGTCCCAGTCTGTGGTGATTTTCTGGCCTTGGTTTTTGAATTTAGTGGCTTTTTCTTATTTTCGCGAAAAATAGAATCTTGCACGAAGGAGACGGTGGACGGTGGTCTTATCCCGTGTAGAATTTCGGGCAATAGCGAAATCGTTCAGGCAAAACCTTCTATTTACTATGATGTGGTCTATTGCGTTATGGTACTCTCCATTGGGTACCCCCACGTCTAGCGTTGAGCGTGGTGTCGTGAACGTCCGATTCGGGTGGTAAGTTATGCGAATGAATCGATGTTCATGGACAAACTCGTGTTGACGAGAACGTCGAAGCCGCCGACTCCTCTACTGTCGCATGTTCCGCGGAACAGTTCTTTTCCGATTTCATAGACGAGGTTGAATGGAAGGCGTCTTCCTCTCTCGCCAGGCTGACGACGTGTTATCTTATTTTACTCGCTTCCACGATTAAGTTTTTTATCGACGACTTGGATGCAAGCGTACGTGGATTGGAGTGACGCATCGTCACTTCAACTTTTTGCAATACAGACAGCTTCCATTGTCTTTGAGATTTTAGCATCCTCTCGTACTCGTCTTACCCGCTTCTGTGAATTTTTTTTACTTCCCTTCCACGGAGAAAGAGCCAATGGTCAGCGTCGCATATAGTTGACTACTGCATCTCCCCGCATAAACGAATGATATGAAGGTACGAGGGAGATCACGTGTGATCTCGCGGCATTCCTCCCTGCTGTTCATTTTAGGGCTTTTGTCATTTAACCAAAAAGCCTCGAAAATCTTGAGCGATGGTGTTTTTGCATCCTGTGCTAGGATAGCGACTTTTGTATCAAAATCGTCGCGGCTATGCTTTTGTATCCTATGCGTCCCTAGTGGTGTGCCTTGTTTTGATTTTCGTTTGCCGTCTAGGTGTTCTTTCATGCGGATACATAAAGGTCTGCTCGTTTCACCAACATATTCGTCTTTGCAGTTATTACAAGAGATCAGGTATATCGTACCTAAACTCATGCAATCACCGTCCCTGCCGTAAGGGCAAATTACGCAATTTTCTGTTTCACATAGATGGTCATGCAGACGGTTACGTTCCAATTGACGACGGAGAGTTTTGGGTGGTATTTCTGCTATCGCAACCAGTTCCTCTAGACCTGCCCTTTTTAAGCACCGTTTTATAGCTTACTTACTTTATCGCTAATAAAAGGCAGCATAAACGGGATTTCCTTTTGGCCAAGTGTTTGGTCCTAAAACCTCGCTCTCCTTTTAAACTTATCTTGTCAGGTTGCTATTCTGTAACCATGAGAGATGGCTATTTGCCGGGCCAAGTCGCGCGATTCTTCCTTTAGTTCCCTGGTAGTGCACGCAGAGGTGGCTGTTCGAAGCATGTTTCTCACAAACGCCCTCTTTGTGTGTGAAGGATGGGAAGAAAGGAAATGATCGAGGATGCTTTTCTTACTTGGTTTCGGTACCACTTTGTCAAGTAACCGCTACTCGATAGGTTTGTTTAAATGTTAAGAAATGAAAGCCAGTTCTCTTTTGGTTTAACCCGGGTAAACTTGGTGTACTCAGATTGCTCATTCAATCACTCAAAGCATTTGTTCAACTTCTCTTAAGTAAAGAAAATGACAAAACAGTCATCTGTTTATCTGTAGTAGAGTAGCGGAAGGAGATCGATAACGGGGATTGTATTCTATATATGAACGCGATGGCAAGACTTGGTGCCAACCGCTGTCCCATTGCCAACCCTCTCATTTGCCCGTAATACTTTCCAGACCGTCTGAAGATAGAGCAGTTTAGGCTCTCCCTTAAGAAGCCTATAAGCTGCTGGATGGTCGAGCCGCGCATTTTTATTCCTCCTTCATGTTCAACAAAAATTTCGTGGATGGCTTGCATTGTGGAGTCATTCGGTACGTTGGTGTAGAGCTCAGAAACATCGAAAGACTTCATCACGTAAGCGTTATTAGGAGGCGCGTTACATAAGCGTTCTAGAAACATGGGTGTCCGTGAAGTGAGCTGGGATGTGGCTAAGCAGCTGGGGGAGTATTAGGCTTAGAAACCATGCTATTCTACCCGTTCGCCCGTATACGCAGCTGATAATGGAAAAAAAAACCATGCCAAATACAAGCACAGCGATGTTAAGGCATTTGTGGAGCTCGGAATCTCGAATGAGCTTAGAACATGTGATAGCCCTTTCAGCGGGATCACTTCTTACTTACAGCGTCACCGGAAAGTCTTGCTTTGACTCTCTCTCAGCCAGTTTTACCACCATCATTGTGGCTGTTTCCCTCCATCTTAACTGTGTTCGACGCCGACTTGTTCTTTTTTCTTGATTCTGGTTAGATGACTTTTAGTAGCATTGCCAGGGCAAAAAAAAACTTGTTGAGTGAAAGCCATTGGAAAGGGCACGGTAGTGCAGCTGGTAAACGTGAGCCCGCAAAGAGCAATCGAGATTTCGAAGGTCGTTTAAGTTCCAAACTTTTCAAATATCCTGCTATCGTGCAAAACACACATGAAGCCGACATTTCGGCAGTATCGCCTTCTTTAAAGCCTGAAGGAATCTATCGTTACGTAATTTACTAGGTTAAACGCTTCGGCAACGCAAACAGAAAGAAAAAAGTGTGAACGGTAATAACATGGTCAGCACGTTCTTGAAAATCTTATTAACGTGCTTTCCACCTTTTCGCTGAAAAAAAAACAGCCGCTAATAGTCGCATATGGTTAAAGACTGCACCACCTCTCGATTCCAAGATACACGGCAAGATCACATGTGATCTCTGGGCACTCCTTTCCGCTGCTTCACTCTTTCACGAACGCATAAACCTTCCCAGAACATCTACAGACCGCGCCTCCTAAAAAAGTGCACGTTATGGAGTACTTCATCGCTGCCGCGCTTTACACCTGCATATCAAGTGAGTCTGCGATGCAATCCATCCTCGAACTACTTGTGGAACACAAAAGTTTAAAGCTCTTTTAAAAGTGCGTAAACTTGTGTTCACATCGATGAACTTCCATGAGGTGGATAAAGATCTTTATTCGGCCATCGTTACAGTTTCATCTTCGTCAGAACCAATGATCTCTCACAAAACACGCATACACGGAGAGGGAGCTTGTGAGAAACATGTTTTGAAGAGCCATCTTTGCAAGCACAAATGGAAAAGTAAAGAAATAATAGCATAGCTTGGCTCGGACAGAAACCATTCCTGATGGCTGCGAAATAACGATCCCACGTGGCAAGGAGATCGAAGCGCTAAAACGAATGGTACCTCTGAATCAAAATACCGTTTATCTTGCTCTTTATTAGCCATGAAGTAAGTGTAGTAAGTGTGTCCAACAAGCTGTGCTAAAAAAAAGCTGGTCTAAAAGGATCGATAACAATAGTAGGTATGCCACCAAATACTCTTCGTCGTCACTTAGTTCGTAACCAACTATATGACCGCCTTTATGAAAGAGAGCTGCGCAGTCTGCATATCAAAGACGGTGACTGCATTAGTTCACGCACGGCTTGCCTAAACTCTTATGATACTTGCGGAAATGAACATATTGGCGAACCATGTAGACCATTATTTATTCGTATAAAAGAACAGCAGTTTAGTTTCTATATCGTCCTTGAGCGATCGGTTATTTTCTCATTTCCACTTTCGTTTCTGGTTTCGGTTTTAACATCGTTTCCGAATCAACTACTAGGAAGACCGAGAAAAAGATTCGACTCCGAAAACATGCCTTCCTTGGATCGTGGTGAAGGTTGAGTCAGGAATCCAGGGAGATCCAAGTTGCACAACCATCAATTGGCCAGCATCAGTACCCCGCATACCAAGTGCTCCCGTCTACGACGTCAAGCGGTGAGACACTCGGTGAGAGGCTACAAAATCTCGGATTACGCAGTGCGTAATTGGAATCGGTTCTGACCAACACATGCACGACACTTCATGGAGACTGTTTCTTAATATGCACGTATAGTGCAGGAACACTCTCCACAGGAACCGGTCTTCTCGCCTTATTGTTACTGCGAATCACATCAATTTTCATATGATCGCACTCCAATAAACAAAAATCGAAAAGACCGACATAGCCAGCTAAAGAACGGGACTTTTCTGATCCGTGGAGAAAAGGCCCCGTCAGCAAATGTATGAGTCGATGAAATGGACAACGCACAGGTGGACGACAAAGCCTGCACCACCGATACCTCTTTTCCTAAACCTTTCTACCACGTAGCTGTCCTCCGTCTTCAGCTAACATGTCTGAAGAAGATCGAAATCATCAACTGCTACTCACCGACTGACGCAGCTGTTGAGGGCGAATTGGATATGTTCTACTATCAGTTGAAGAAAGCTGCTCGGAATGATAAAGCGTATCATCAAATTTTGTCGGAGATCACAAAGCCAAAGTGGGAAAGGGCAACGAAAGCGAATACAGGATCTGAAATTTTGGATTAGCAGAAAGAAATGAGAGTGAAACCCGTCTTGTAGAACTTTTGTCTGCAGCACATTTCTTTCATGGAAATTCGTCTTTACAAAAGAAGGAATGCCGCCGCCAGAAATGAGAGCCTCTTAGCGGTATGACTCATGTGGAGATCAACCACATTCTGACAAACAGAAGATGATGCGTATTTGACACATCGGTAGTCGCGTCATTTTGTAGTGTTCCCGATCATCGCGTTATTCGCGTGAAGACTTGATTTAACCATAAGCTGCAAAAGAAGTCGTGCAATCTACCACGAGGAAAAAAGTTTAGCTGCTTTCGATGAGGATATTCTGAACAAAACCTTATCTAAACGTGACTAGCAGACTAACG